AATCAGGCGAGGACCGCGCGGCTCGGAGCCATGTTGGGCCCCCCCGTGGATCTCGGGGGCGAGGGTGGTTGGATCTTGGGGGGTGCAGACATCCAATCTGGCGAGCCTGGGGGGGGGCGCTCTACTCGGTGCCCCCTAGGGTTATTTAGGTCTCGGGTGGGGCTGATATCCAGCCATGCAGTGAGGCGAGCCTTGGAGGGGGACCCGCGCGGCTTGGACCCCCCCCCTGGAGCCCTCCTGGGGCGATGGCGATTGGATCGCGAGGGGTCGGACATCCACTCAGGCGAGTTTGGGAGGGTGGTGCCCGCGCGGCTTGGAGCCCTCTTGGGCACCCCTTAAAGTCCCCTGGGGTGAAGGTAATCGGATCTCGGGGAGGGGGAGGGGGGGGGGGCCGAGCGGCTCGGTGCCCTCCGAGGCCCCCCTTGGGCCACCCTGGGGCGATGGTAGCGGATATCCACACAGGCGAGCTTGGGAGGCGGGCCCGTGCTGCGTGGAGCCCTCTTGGCCCCTTTGGAGCCCCCAGGGCGATGGTGATTGAGGCGAGCCTGGGAGTGGGGCCCATGCCGTCTTGGGGCCCTCGCGTGCCGCCGTAACGCCGTCGCGACGCCTTCCCGACGCCTTCTTGATCACTTTGTGGAGCTCCCAGAAGGCCCTAGAAGTGCTTATAAACACAGGCCCTCGCGGAGCTCTCTAGATGCCGTCACAAGACGCTCGCTGCCTCCTTGGAGCCCCATAGCCTTCTCGAGGCCCCCTCGGGTTCCTCATGAGGCCCCAAGCCCAACCAGCGGCTTGGCATAGCAAGCACACCCGTGGCCGCCCTCTGCGTGCCCTGTTGGGCCCTTGCCCGCAGCCATTTCAGCATTCGGATCTCTTCTGATTTCTGAGCGCTGTACCCTCGCTCCTTCGACTCGTGGATGTCGTCGTCAGACGAGGCCGCCGCCATGTCGTCGTCCGACGACGCGGCGCCCCTGCCCGAGCCACAGAGGAGGAGCTACCGTGCAGCTGGATCAGCTGCTCGCTTGGACGCACCTGTGCCGAATCCGCCCAAGCGGGCGAAGCTGGCCAAGGACTACAAGGGCCCCGCCGCCAAGATCGCCAGCACCTCCGCCGCCCCCGCCAAGACCAAGCATGCCAGGGCGAATCAGACTCGGCAGAAGAGGACGACCCACGTCGGCAGCGACTCTGATGACACTGGGCCTGGCGCCAGGGCCATGGACAGCGACGAGGCCGAGGATAACTGCGTGACCAAGATGGCCACGGCCGACGCGGCCGTCGGCGGCGACGATCCCAAGTTCCAGCCGCGCGAGACGATCTACCAGCGCCCCGGCCTCAAGAACCTCAAGGGCGCAGCCCTGCTGGAGAAGCTGTGGGACATGTATGCGGTCACTGGGCAGCGTGACATCACTGTGAAGTTTTTTACTGAGTCTGGGCAGAGGACGATGAAGCCTCACCCCTTGAACGAGCGGCGGCAGGACACAGTCGTGGCTGAATATACCGAGTCAATAAAGGAGGACGGCAACGTCGCGGGGGTCCGCGGAGACCCGTGGGCCGTCTTCTCGCCAGGTGGGCAGTTGCCGTACTTGATGATCTCGTACGGCACGCTCAGCCGCGCTGTCTACCGGGCGGCTGCTGAGGATCCCAAGAACAAGATGGTGAAGCTTACGTTGAAGCAAGGGCTTCGCCACATGACGGTGCTGGACCACCGCACGCCAGACGACGTCATCAGGTTCCTCATCGATTTCCACAACGACTGGCACAAGGGCTCGACATTCACTCTCTTGCAGATGTTCAATCTTGCCAAGACTTACATTGCAGCGTTCAAGGCCAACAAGGCTGTCCAGGGTGACGAGTACGGATGCATATGGGACTTCATCGTCGACAGGTACCCCGAGAAGGACAGGAAGTTCAAGAGCGGCAACGAGATGGTCTCTGCCCAGGACTGCCGTCGGCAACCTAGCTTTTCACCGCCACCACCGCCGTTCAGATTCCTCATGCGATTCTGAAGCTTCAGGGCACGAGTGGAGGGCGGCTGAGGACTGAGTGCGATGAGGGATGTGGAGGGCCCATGTCAGTCGAGTCCGCGATCCCGACGTTTTTTCCAGGACCCCAGGGCCCAACCGTTACACTCGATGGCTCTCGGGCCACGCCTGGTTTGTCGAACCGACAGATATCGCCCCTCCCCATCACTCGTCGCATCGCGTCGCCGTCCACAGGCCCTTCTCAATGCGCTCAAGCGGTACAACCTCACCGACGCTACGTTCGACTACCTCGGCACCCACTGCATCTTTAACGACAAGCGCATGGACAACACAGTGGCGATATTCAACCTTCACCACATCGCAGTGTCGGTCTTCCATGATGTCATGCGTGCCTCCACCAGCATCGAGTACCTGAAGATCGTCTGGTTCGCTATCCTTCCGATGTGCGTGCCCGTGAAGTGCACGGGCGGGCGCGCGCCGCCGTTCGTCTTCGACAAGATACAGCTCGAGAAGTGCAAGTGGCTGGTGCAACCAATGGCAGATAGCGTGGTGGTCAAGCGCGGCGTCGAGCTTGCTCGGAAGCTCAAGGAGAAGCAGCTTGCAGCCGCGGCACAGGCAGCAACGGACGCGGGCGGTGGCGTGTCCTACTCCCAAGTCAAGGGCTCCGCCAAGGCTTCAGCCAAGGTGGCCAAGGTGTCATCGAAATGCATTCCGCAGGAGGATATGACCAACATGGATAATCACAAGGTGTGGCTCCTAGATGCAATGTCTTGCATCTTGTCGGCGGTGTCAGAGTGCAAGCTCGAGGATGCGGACCAGATGGCGATCTTCAAGCAACTGATCACACCCGCTATCGAGTTTTGCTTCCAGGGCACGATACGCATGGGAGCAACTACCTACACGAAGTGGTCGGATCTGCGGCCCAAGCTCCGCGACCTCGCAACCGCCACTGCGATGAGCCGCGTCGGAGCCTTCGGCGTTGGTGGCGACGAGGGCCAGCCCGTGCAGAGCGTCAAAGATATTCTCGAGTCCAGCCTCGACGCATCCACGACCGTCGACGTCGACGTCCGCGCCTCAGTCCAGACGAGGCTCCTAGCTGATTTGCAGTCGGGGGCGACCGAGTGGACCAACACGTTGACCGATTTCATCGCTGCCAACAAGGCCAGCATCCCCGCGAAGCGCCACCCAGCCTACCGCAGCTTGATCGATGATATGTACGACCATCTCGGGGCCAACGACGGACGCGCCGGGAAGGTACTTGCAGATGCTGCTACTCGTCCCAGTGACGACGCCTCAGTGTCGGAGTTCACCCGATGTGCCCTCGAGCTCGTGTACGAGAAGATGGATGGTGTCATGCCAAACGGCGTCGTGACTCTCTGCCAGCAAGCTTGCTCGTACCTCAAGTTGACGTCCCAATTGCCGGCATGCATACTGCGACATTTCGGCAAGGTCGAGGACCTGTTGTGGTTCATGCAGCTCCGTGCGACGTATGCCCAGATGGCCTTGGACGACGTGTTACATTCGCATGAGACCTTCATGACTTGCTCACGTGCCACCATCCACATCGACCTGTCCAAGTTGGCTGTGGCGGCGAAGGAGGCCGCCCAGCATTTGCGCCACTTGGACGGTCGCCTGCGGCCTGACCAGTGGGTGCCAGTCTACCTTACTTTCATGACGGCAGTGTACAGCGGCCACGTGCATGACTATGGAGAGTTGGTCAGGCGCATCGTCGAGCAGCACGGGCTCGGGGACGACAAGATGACCACCACCTCTCCGCCGAGTGCCACATCCAGCAGGGGGAGTACTGCTTCCGCTGGCCTGGTGGTCGGCTCGTCGGCGGTGGTGCCCGCGAACCCGCAGGAGCAGCGCCCGCCGACGACGGAGATGCCCGCGGCCGCTCCGACGCCATCAGTTTCTCCGTGGAGTTCGATGGCAATGTCTTTCCAGGACATCTACACGCTCAATGGGGTCATGTAATCCTCTCCGTCTCAATCCTCCCACCTGTAACCTCCTCGTCCTCATCCAGCCTGCACCGCGTTCCTCCTCCTCCTCCTCCCCCATCCTCCCCCTCCCCTCCCTGCCCTGCTTCTCCTCTGCCTCCTCCTCCTCCTCCTCGAAGCCTCGTCGTCGTCCTCCTCCTCCTCCTACTCCTCATCCATTCTCGCCATGCCCGTACGTGTCGTCGCGATCGTGGCTGATCCATGGTTTAGGCCGTCTCGTGCCATACGTCTGGCCCATCAGCCTCTATTGCAATTTCTGGCCCAGGCTATCTTGGTTGTCCCTACCTAGGCTCTGCCGGGAAGGGTTCATACTCTCTTAGCTTAAAGGGGCCGGGCAGTGTAAAGCGCCCCGGGCGGTTCCCCCAGTCCCCTGGGAGCGGTTCCCCCCAGTCCCCTGGGAGCTTTAGCTTTAGCTTTAGCGTTAGCTTTAGCGTAGCTTAGCTTAGCTTTAGCTTAGCTTTAGCTTAGCTGTAGCTTAGCTTTAGCTTAGCGTTTCGCTTAGCTGTTCGCTTAGCGTTTAGCTTAGCTTTAGCTTAGCTGTAGCTTAGCTTGAGCCTAGCTGTAGCTTAGCTTTAGCTTAGCTTTAGCTTAGCTTTGGCTTAGTTTTAGCTTAGCTGTAGCTTAACTTTAGCTTATATTTAGCTTAGCTCTAGCTTAGCTTTAGCTTAACTGTAGCTTAGCTTTAGCTCAGCTGTTGCTCAGCTGTTGCTCAGCTGTTGCTCAGCTTTAGCTTAGTTTTAGCTTAGCTTTAGCTTAGCTTTAGCTTAGCTTTAGCTTAGCTTTAGCTTAGCTGTGGCTCAGCTTTAGCTTAGCTTTAGCTTAGCTTTAGCTTAGCTTTAGCTTAGGCTTAGCTTTAGCTTAGCTTTAGCTTTAGTTAGTGTTACTGTTACTACTAATGCTGCTTTCCTAGGGGTTCCAACTCCTAGGCAGGGTCGCACTGGGATAATGTTTGTTTTTCCTTCGCCGCCCTAACCCTCGCGACCCCCTGCGCCCCTCTCCCCCCGTGCGCCCGCCTTCCCAGGTTCTCGGACTCGGAGGCGGTCACGCTGGCGGCGGGCTCGCACATCAACCTGGCGTCGGCCGTGTGCGGCGACAATTCTCAGCCACCCGAGGCGTGCGTGCTTGTGCTGCCCCAGAGTGCATTCCCCACGTGTTACTGGATGAAGATGTTTCTCTTGTGGCTTGAGTGCGAGCTATACAGGCTCACGTTCAACGAGGGTGCCAATCAACAATTGGAGTTCATCGCCCACGACTGGACCCCCCCCGCTGCAGCCGCGCATGCCGGCAAGTCCAGGGGTGCACACGATGATGCCAAAGGGGTCGTGCTTGCTAGCTCGCTGGATGCTGTGACCGAGCTTACGTTCAGTGGGACTGTGAGTCTGAATCGGGGGCCCCGTTCGTTCCTGGTCTGCGCGCTGAAGGTCCCGGCGCCAGATGAGAGGGACTCCCTCGTCCTGGGCGTCTACGTGACGCCCGAGAAGGCAAGCTCGATCACGTCTGCATGCCCTGTGCCAGCTTGGATGGTATCTATTGTGTCTGATCAGAGTGCTGCCAACATGATCGTCAATCAGAGACTCACCAAGCTCGAGTTGCCTTCTCACCTGTGTATCCCGAGTGCTTCTACCATCACGATCCAGGTGCCGTGTCCTGCTCCATCTCTCGCCATCCCTGCCCTTCCTCCTCCGTCGCTCCCCCTTGCCCCCTCCCTCTCCCCTTCCCTCCTCATAGGTTACCTACCTCTCGCCGTCGACGCCTGTCAGCGCCGAGGACAGCGGGCCCACGCAGCTCACTCGGGTTGAGCTTGGCGGCGAGGTCCAGGCGAAGAGGAGGCAGTCGAGATGTGCCAACCAGCCACCGAGTGAGGTATCGTCGGTTTTCGGTGCCAGTGCTGCGTCGGCCTCGATGGCCAAGAGAGCTGCCGCCAGTGCTCAGTCTGGCGCGGCGCCGGGCAGCGGCGGGCCTTCGGCAGCTGTGCGCGGCGCGAAGAAGGATAAGCTATTCCAGCATCTGTTGAATTAAGCGCAGTCGTGTGGTTTGTTTGTTTTTCAGGTTGCTCCCCTCGCCCTCACCCCCGCTTCACCTACTCAACATCATAAACCAGCGTCATTCCTTCTCAATCCTGCCCATCTCCTACCGACCTCGTCGCCCTCGCAATTCGTGTGTCCAGGTGCGTCTACCACTGCATTATTTTAGACATGTTAGCGTGTCCTTGCTCAGCTCGGGCGTGGCTGTGCATGCAAGGTCCGATGCATCCTTCTCGGACGGTCGCTCGGGGGCGGCCGACGTTCTCCGCTGAGAGTCAGGGCTCGCAAGCTCGGTCACGCCGCGCGCCTGTCGTAGCGATGCGGGGCGCAGTGGCACGGCCAGCTGACCTCGCCCGATGCGCCCTCCTAGCATGGCGCGCGTGACAGGTGCCAAGTCAGGGGAGTGGAAGAACGATGTCGTGATGAGGTGGGGTGGCGAGGCAACCTGGCACGCGCGCGTAGCCGCGCCTCTCGCTGACCTCCGACCTGGCGCCCGGACGCTCCAACCCTCTCACAGAATCATCATATCAACATCATCTGTCAGTGTCACATCACACGACGCACAACGTAATACATCATACGTCCGTCATACGATGTGCAGCGTATCACAGTATGTCACCACATCGATCCACCATGCAATGCTAGCCATAAGTAGCGACGTACACACATCGGCTGCTCAAACATCGGCAACAATCGCCACCATCATCTCATCATCGCCTACGGGCCTTAACCCTGCAGGCGCTAGTCCTACATGCCCTAACCCTACATACCAACATACCCTAACCCGACATGCGCTAACACAACAGACCCTACGAACCCGAAAGGCCCTCACCCTACACACTCTTACCTGCCATACCCTAACCCTGCAGACCCCAACCCTACAGCCCCCTAACCCTAGATTCCTTCTTCCATCCACCTTACCTTCGTCTCCTCGCCCTGGCCTATCCCTTCTCACTGTAGTCCTTGCAGCATCGCAATCATCGTCTTCGCCCCTCTCCTCCTGCCCCGCATCTTCCCAAACGACTCGCAACCCTCCCAGGGCCCGCCTGGTCCGAGCGCCGGCCAGGACCCGCGGTGGAGCGAGGGCGGCGCAGCTCGGCCCGAGAAAGCGCGGCGCACGCCGCGAGCTCGTCGTGCCGCCGTCTCGTCGTCTCAGCAGGTCATGATGGTCGTGACAGTATGGTGTGATCGTTTAAGTTCTACATGGGTGTGTACATACGCATATGCATATGTATATGCATATACAAATGTAGTATACACATGTATACGCGCACACATACGCATACATACATGCACATGTGTACAACCATGCGACAGTGCCCCGTGTATGCGTTCACATACGCATGTTATCAAATTTAGATAGCATATCCATTAAATGTATGTTAGTACGTTCGCACATATTCAACACTATATCTATACTATACCTTTCTTCCAACATCTCAGTGTATGATTATACACACATTTACACCCTCAAGCTCCTAGTCGGCGTTGTGCCACAACGACTATTCATATGCATGATATCGCGTCGGCACGACCTTTGCCACGCAAATCCCAGGAACCTTGTACTACCGCTTCCTAAGTTGACTTTTCGGGATTTCCATATTCTTGGAGATACACACCCGTCGACCCCACTTTGTCCGCCCCGAAGATCCTGGCGACATGCTGTCGCATATTCCCGAGATAGTAGAACAGCTTCCTGGAAGGGGGGGGGAGATCACGTCGGACCCGTAGCTGTAAGTCGGGACCGCCCTCAGGGTTCGGGAAGGGGAACGTGCCCACGGACGATGCCATCCCATGGAACGTGGAGGCCTCTAGGTTGGAATCAAAGTCCAGGAACGCCTTCTTACTGCAATCGTAGGCCTTGACCTGGATCGAACCCTGAGTCGAGGACGGAGCACAGCGGGTGAGGATACTCTGGGCGGCTTCTCGGAGCGTTTTCTCCATCAGCGGCCGTGGAAATCCAAGAACCACAAGACGCGAGGGGTTACCCACAAGCCCAGAGTCAACCACGAGGTGTCGGGGTCCCTAACTCGACGACTTTCTGAATGTCCTGGATCTCGCCACGCATCGTCTGGATCATTCCTTTGAGCTCATCACGGAGGGCGGATTCTGCGGTCTCACGGTCCTGAATGCACTGCAGGAGGGCCTGTTCGTGGATCACACGCATCTGCTCGAAATTAGCTGCCGTCTGTTTTGCCAGTTCAGTGTGCGCCTGCTGAAGTGTCTGGAAGTTCTTCTCAGCTGCGATCATCTGACCCTGGATTCCCGAGATCTGTTGGTTTATCTCCTGCACGCCGAGATTCAACTGACTGGACAGGCTGGCGACCGACGACGACAGAGGAGCAATCATATCACGCATGGCTGCGAGGATCTTCTCTGTGTCCCTCATACCCTCCACGGACGTACCTCCAGGCGCCGCCGGGGGGGTACTCATCCCTCCAGGGGAGACAGGAGGAGTGGACGTGAGCGATACTGGCCAGGACTCGCTCTCGGACGGCATAGCGAAGGTTGAGAGGAGGGCGCGGCCGCGGCGGGCCGAGGGAGAACGGCCCCGCGGGGACAGGGGAGCGCGTCCGCTCCCGGCCTTGGTGCCTGGCCACCAGGCGCCTCGAGAGAGGTTGGAAGTTAAGGAGCAGGCCCCTTGAGCCAAAATGGCTACGGAAGGAGGAGGAGGAGGAGGAGGAGGAGGAGGAGGAGGAGGAGGAGGAGCAAGAGCAGGAGCTATGGGAGGAGCAGTAGTACCAAGGTGCGGAGGAGGAGGGAAAAGAGGGTGACGAAACTTGCGAGGAACCAAACGGATCCAGAAATGCAGCGCGCGCTGGGGCGAGACCACAATTCTGAACGACGGGAGCAAAACACCCATCTTGTAATGCGGACAGCGCTGGAACGGGAGCGCAATGTTGAAGGACCCGAAGCTGTCCAATCGAACAACATCCACAATGCCCTGAGGCACGAGTTGGAGTGTCCTCAGCTCCGTTGAAATTCCTTGTATTATTGCGAATATTCTTGAAGGAGTCCACAGCCCGAAACTCCTGGCGCTCGCGCTCTCGCGCGCATCCGGGGAGTCCTCGCGTGACTATTCCAGACGCCAAGAGCGCGTTGTTCGGAACACGCTTTTCAACATGGCCTCAGATGGCTTCAAGGATCGTCCTGGAGACCTCTTCGGCGCCTCTTGGGCCGTCTTGGAGGCTCTGCAGGGCAGCCCAAAAGGCCCCCCTAGAGGCGCACAAGATCGCCCAAAACGGCCCGAGAGCTCTCAAGAGGGGCCCAATAAGCCCCAAGACAACCCCAAGAGAGGGGATACGAACTGACATTTCGAGTCCTCTGCCCCAAGATGGCCCCGAGATGTCCCCAAAGGCTCCCGAGGTGTCCCCAAGACCAAGAGGCCCCGAGAGGCCCAAGGCTTCCGAGAGGCCTCCCAGGAGAACCCAACAGGCATCCAGGAGGCCTCTGACCTACAACGACCCACGCGCGGCGGCGGGATGGGCCGAAGTCCACTCGATTCATGTCCTGGCGCTTTCCTCAACGAGTGTCTGGACATGGACGACGACGAGTACCAGTGAGCCTGGGTACGAATGGCTGGACGAGAAATCCCCCCCCACGACATTGCTATCGGCCGCTGCCCTCGGTCCCTCGCCGCGAGGTCGCCGCTGGCCAGGCCTCGGCGGCCCCCTCCCCAGGACCGCGCCGCCGTGTCCTTCGCGTCGAGGAGGTACTGCTTTATCGTGTCTGGGCTGGCCTGGATCTCGAAAGTCTCCTATGGAGGCATGCGCATCAACTTTCAGAGGTTCTCGAAGATTTCTTGGGTCGGTGCTGGACCCCCCTCCCATCGCGCGCGGAGCTCGTCAGGGGCGGCGCCGTAGGTAATTCGAGCGGACCTCCGAATGCTTATGTTTGGGAAGTATTTTGTTCTTCAATCCTGAACGATCGGCGGCTGACAGGAGTGATCCTGGCCCAAGGTGCCCCCCAGCTTTTCGCATCGTTTTGGAGCCCATGGGGGCCTCTGGGCCCCGTGCATCTGGGCCTCCCTGGGAAAGCTAAGGTCACCTTGGGACAAGGTCACCTCTGACAACACCCGGGCCGAAGGCGTAGACCAACGGACAGAACAACGCAGATAGTCACCGCAAAACGATTCGGGCAGAGCAGCGCCTCGTAGATCATATCCGACAGGCAGGCCGAAGAGGATGCTGGGCGTGGCCGGCGACAGGAGTCACAGTGTGGAAAGCGAGGTGTGCTGCGGAAGTGCCTGGTTGGCCTGGCGCTGAATCCCTGCCGCCTGCAGCAGCACCGCTGCGCGCCCCTTTCCCAAACTTGGTCACCCAACTTCGCGCACTGCGCCCCGCGATGCGCGACGCGGGGTTATCCTCGCGCCCTCGCGCCACACCCTGGAGGAAGGCAACTCACTTGCCCAGACCGCGATCTGCGGTTGTCCTCGCGCCCCCGCGGGCGACCCAGCCAACTAACAGCGCCGACCATACCTACGTCGCCCAGACTCAGATCACGGCAGTCCATCGCGAAGAGCCAACACGCTGTCCCAAATTCCTTCTTCCGGGGGGCAACCCCTGAGATCCGCCACCGTGCCTCGGGGCACGGAGTGGGCGGGCCCTAGGGTCCTTTCCCGAGTTCTCTAAGTCTCAGTTTTCACTCATGAGGAGTCCCTGAGGGGCCTGGACTCCAGAATTGCCAAATTTGGCGGGGCTCCCGCGTCGTGTCTGGGGCTTCCCGCGCCCTTTGGGGCCCAAGAAAGCCCCAAGACGGGCCAAGAGGGTCCCAAGAGGTCTCCAAGACGGTCCAAGAGGGCCTCGAGACGCCTACAGATCGCTCCAAAACGCTCAAGATGGCCCCCAGACGGCCCCAGATGCCTCGAAGACGGCCCCAAGAAGCACAATTCATGTATTACCTCTTGGTTTTTGAAAGATTTTTGGCGTTCTCGCCTTTTCAACTTCCCCACGTTCCACGACGGCCCAAAACACCCCCAATAACGCTACAAGACGGCCCAAGAGGCCAATAGGCCCCCAAAACGGCCCGAGAGGCCCCCAAGACGGCTCCAAGAGGGGGCCCAGACGGGGGACCCGAACAGACATTTAGGCCTTCAGCCCCGAGGAGGCCCCCAAAGACTCCCAAGACGCCCTCAAGAGGCCCCCGAACTACCCCCAGGAGGCCCCAAGAGCGCTCCGAAGAGACCCCAAAAAGTATCACTGAGGACTCTGACCCACAATCTACAATGTAGACGCGGCCGCAAAAAAAAACCTAGCAAGAAACCCAACCCTGAAAATCAACTAAATTTCTTGCCCAAAATTTGGGTTCTTTAATCTGTGGCTCCAAACGGAAACACCCAGGGCGCCCTGGCCCGAGCAATTTTTTCCTGGGTCGCGCAAGGAAAACGAACCAGCAACGTTTCGGAAGAAACCCATGGCAACCCGAAGAACTAAATTGGGATTGCGGCGGCGTTCCCGCCTCCTAAATAACCCTGAAGCGTCCCGCGGAGACACCGTGCATCTTCTCATGTCGCTGCGGAGCGAATTTTGTCCGCACCGTCTGCCGGGGCAATTCTTGGCGGGGGTTACGCCGTGGAAAAACCCAAATGCCTTGACAGCAAGTGAATCCATGAGGTCGTCGCCTCGCGGCCCGTGGATCAAAATACCCCCCCGAAACAAAACAACACACACACACACACTGCCCTCGGCGGGTCGCGTGATTCCTGCGCACTCCTTGCACTGCATGCGAAAAACACATGATGAAATGAAGTCAACATCACAAATTGTTCCCAGAATCAGCATGGCGACTTTCCTATTCCGGCTATACAGAAACCACAATCCCAAGGCAGTGGGCGCGTACGCGCGCGTACGCGCCAGCGCCCGCCGTGACACACTGCTTCATACAAAGCGCATGTTCAAAACACACATGTCGAAGTCAAACTCACATGTTTTCCCTTCAACATGTCCTTTGAATTTCCAGAGCCGACATCGCGACTTGCCTATTCCAGCTATGCAGAACTCACAATCCCAGGGCACTGGACGCGTACTCGCCAGTGCCCGCCGTGACACATTGCTTATACCAAGCACATGCGAACAACAAAAAACATATTGAAGTCAAATTCATATGCTTTTCCCTTTGAGGTGCCATTTGAAGTTCCAAAGCCGACATGGAGACTACCCCTCACCGACTACACAAAACTCACAATCCCAATGCTCTGTCGCGTACACGCCAATGCCCGCCGTGACCCATTGTTTCAGAGTGCAAAGCACATGCGAAAATAACAACATGTTGAAGTCACAATCACATGTTTTCCCCTCAAGGTGTCCTTTTGAATTCCCGGAACCGACATGGCGACTTCCCTTTCCGACTATGCACAATCCCAGGGCACTGGGCGCGTACGCGCCAGTGTCCACCGTGACACATCGCTTTTACAAAGCGCATGCGAAAAAAACAGGGTGAAGTTAGAATCACACGTTTTCCTTCTAAGGGGTCCTTTGAACTTCCAGAGCCAACATGGCGACGACCCCTTCCCGACTACACAGAACTCGCGGTCCCAAGGCACAGGCGCGTACACGCCAATGTTTCATAAAAAGCACATGCGAAAACAAAGAAAGGTTGAAGTCAAAATCACATGTTTCCCCCTTAAGGTTTTCTTTGAATTTCCAAAACCGACATGGCACCTTCCCGATCCCGACTATACAGAACCAACAGTCCCTGGGCACTGGGCGCGTACGCGCCAGTGTCCACCGTGACACAGCGCTTCATACAAAGCACACGCGGAACAAAACACATGTTGAAGTCAGAATCACATGTCTTTCCCTTCAACGTGTCCTGACTTTCCAGAGCAGGCATGGTGATTTCCCTCTTCCGACTATACATAACTCACAATCCCAGGGCACTGGGCGCGTACGCTCCAGTGCCCACCGTGACACACTGCTTCATGCGAAGCACATGCGAAACAACATATGTTGAAATCAACATTAAATCTTTTCCTCTTGAGGTACCCACTGAATTTCCAGGGCCAGCATGGCGAGTACCCCATCCCGACTATACAGAACTCGCAATCTCAGGGCACTGGGCGCTCACGCGCCAGTGCCCGCCGTGACACATTCCTTATACGAACCACGGCCAGCATAGCGGTATCCCTATTCCGACTATACACAACTCACACAATCCCAGGTGGGGGGGAGGCAGCGTGGCTAGGAGGAACGGCGAAGAGAAGCGAGGTAGGGGGTTGAAGGGAAGAAAACGGCGAGCTCCTGCTCACTCTCCCCATGCCCGGCTGGGGTCTCTCTCGACAGCGAGCGCCTCTTCCAGTCATTGCATTCCTTGACTATCTAACCATTGCCAAGCTTTTTGAAGAAAACGAATGTGCTCCACTAAAACTTGGATCCCCGAGAGCCCCTACGACACGCCCTTCTGGCCGAGGTCGTGCTTGCCTGGGCCCCCTCATGGAGCCCTGGCAACAATCAATTCATTGCTATTTGTTTTCGCCGCGTGGCCTGTTTGACCAAGCCAGATTCAAGAAAAAGAGGGCGCCTTGGGGGCCCATGGGTTCTTGCGCGCCCCCCTGCCGGCGCCCTTTCTGGTCGAGGCGGTATCAAGCTACTTATAACACCTTGGCTGCAGTTTGAGTTCTTTGGTCCTCGGTGCGTGGCTTTTTTCGTATTGCAAGAAAGCGAAAGCGCCCTGGTGAACTGTCAGGTTCTTGCATGCCCCTTGCGACGCGCCTCTTGATCGGGGTCGCGTTTGTTCCGTCGATTCGTCCTCCCTTTTCCGTCGATTCTTCATCCCTCCCAGCCGAATCCGCGCGGACGCAAGAAACCAAGGACGTCTTTGACGCCACGGAGATTTTTCGGTAGCGGGGCGTTGCTCGCGCCAGGTGCAGCTGGGAGGAAACGCAGGCATCCTGAACGTGCAAGTTTCTTGACGCCCGCGGGGAGCCATCGCGCAACGCGCGGAACGAAACCCAAGGAGCCCTGACCAAAAACGTTCGGTTTCTTGATGCGCGTCCCCACTGTAGGCACGGTGGCGGGATGGGCCGAAGGCCATTAAATCCGCCGCCCCCTGTGGTCTTGCCACAGGGGTGCACGGCGTGCTGGATGTTTCAGGTTTTGGTTTTGGTTCTTTTTCTAAAAGAACTCCCCAATGGGCTTCGGCCCGTCCCGCCGGCCACCCGCAAGTTTCCGAAAATCCATCTGTCAATGCCTTTGTTGCCCCAACTTGGCCCAAGATGGCCTCCAAGACGGCCAAGATGGCCCAAGATGGCCTCCAAGATGCTTCCAAGACGGCCAAGATGGCCTCCAAGACGGGTAAGATGGCTCCAAGATGCACCCAAGACGGCCCAAGATGGCCTCAAGATGGTCTAAGACGGCCCAAAAGGCCCGCAAAAGGCCTCCAAGACGGCCCAAGAGCCCTCCAAGACGCCCTCCAGGAAGGCCCGAATAGGTTAAAATCATGGATTTTCCTAAGGTTTTTGAAGGATTTTGGCATGTTCTTCTTTTCAGCTCTCCGACGGCCCAAGACGGCCCAAGAGGTCCCCAACATCGCCCCAACAGCACCCAAGAGGCCTCCAAGATGGCCCCATGACGGCCCAAGAGGCCCCCAAGAAGGCCCCAAGAGGGCCTCAAGACGGCCCAAGAGGCCTCCAAGACGCCCAAGATGGCCTCCAAGACGGCCAAGATGGCCCAAGATGGCCTCCAAGATGCCTCCAAGACGGCCAAGATGGCCTCCAAGACGGGTAAGATGGCTCCAAGATGCACCCAAGACGGTCCAAGA